CAGAGTGATTGGATCAAAATAAGACACCCCCCCCCCCCCAAGGAGGAGCTGTGACTCACAAATTATTCAAACCACAAATTATTCAAAACCACCTTTTAATTTGATTAACTCCCATAAATCAAAAGACACATTTATTTTGTATGTCAAGCATGAGCATCGCTTCCAATGGACTGACAATATTAAAGAAAGTTCAAACAAAATGAAGATAAAAATGGGGAATAACCAAAGGAAATAAAGGTTAGAGAGATTATATCTTTCCTTGTAAGACAATATGCCAGGGTACAGAGTGACATGTAATAACACCTGGTGTTTCTGTGAAAGCTTCCAAGTCACAGATTCTGGCTGCATAAGAACTGCACTGCAGGCCATAAAGGCAATGTGGTGCCAGCATTTCAAGGTTTGTGCTAAAAGGAGAGGATTTATTCCCTTTAAGAAAGAAGGGATACAAAAAAATTAAAAACCATTTTAAGGCTGATGTTCAGTTTCCAGACTATAGGAGAGAGCTGAACAGCTGCCTGGCAGATCCCTCTACACCACCAGGCTGGACATTTGTATTTATTTGAATATTTCTAGAGTAATAGGTATTTAAGAAAAAAAACACATTCTGTAGTCACTGTAAAATCAAAGACCATCACTCTTAAACACACTCCAAAGTGTAAATAGGAAGCACTTTCCATCACGTACAAGAGGAAAATTTCTGCTAATGCAAAACATTTTCCTACTCATGATCATTCAGGAATGCTTTGGCAAATAACTTAGACAACTATTCTTTATCTTTGCCTAGAAGTGCCTAAAAAAGCTTATAAACATATGATTTTCAGATTGGATACAAACCTGAGAACAATCTGAAGTTGCAAGCACATTTTCTAACTCTTTAACCAAAATTGTAGGAAGTCCTTCGCTATAAATGAATGAAACAAGCTAATGAATAAGGTAGTAATATAAATTATTATGGTAGAATTCACATGATCTCTTTTAGACATCTACCAGTTTAGGGCACTAAGTCAGCAGTTCTGCTCAAAATAAATGAGAAGTGCCTGCTTTGGAACAGACACTCAGCTCCATTACCTTCCTCACTTTCCTCCCTTCCAGAATACTGTGTTCTTTTATTTACAATGTTTATAATGGAGTGCAAGACACTTGTCATATACTGTGATCATTTATATAATTTTATATAAGACACAAATCAGGCAAATTAAGGGCTCTGTTAAAGTTTGAGGTCCAACTGCTAATACTGCCTCAAGAAAATGAATATACCTGCACCAGTAAACAGTGGTTGCAAAACCAGACAAATATTCTCAGAACTCCACATGGGAGGAAAGCACAGCCCAGAGTCATCTTGGAACAACCAAAGCAGGCTGTATAAAAATACAGAGTAAAACGCAAAGCACATTTATTAAACAAGCTACTCAACTGCTAAAAACACAAGTGTCAGCTGACAAAAGTGACTCTCCTCAGCAGAGATATATAATTTCATACAATTCAGGGTATTTTAGGGTAACCAGACACTATTTGCTACAGATAATATTGCTTACACCAATTTTCAACTTGTTTTATTATTCCAGAGTAAATTTTTTATGACTACTTGTTACTGTGTTAGTAGAAACACTACATGATGAGTACAATCCTATTTAGATGCCTCTACTGTAGAAAGTAAAATCCATTTATTTAAAAAAAACATAACCAATATACTATTAAATCCTTCTAAGGTTTCTAACACAGCAATATATTCAGAAAAAATGCTACATCCCTCTTCTTCTGTCAGTCCTTCAAAGTCAACTATTCACTACCATAAATTGATATTGTCATACAAAAACCCTCACATATTATAAATTTGAACATGCCAGGAAACTTGATACTTGGCTTTTGCAGTACCAATTGTTCCTTGCACATGGTCATGGCACAAGTGTAACCAATTATCTAATGAGACCAGAGCTTCCTAATGTATTGCTTCTAAATACATAGATGCTTCTAGTGAATTCAGGCCTAAAAATTCACTGTTTCACTGTTCATTAGTAGAAGTTACTCAATATTTTCCTATGAGATTATAATTAATTCCCATGCTACAAGGTCAATAAGCTCAACTGTTTTCAGTTGCTCAACATGTTCTTCCCAGGAGCTCTTAGCCAAACAAAGCAAAACATTGAAAACAGGCTGCAAAAGATGTGGATTGCCAGAGTTTGGATATCATAATACCACCTACTAAATGAGAAATAAAGAGGGACCACACAACAAGGTTCATGTCAGAGGCAACAGAAAGCCTCACACAGGGCATAGCTCTGTCCTCCTTTGCTTTTTCAAACAGATTAGGCCTTGTCTCTGCTCTGTTGATATGATTTGATGGCCCCTTTTCCATAACCTTGAAAATCACACGTTCCCACAGGGACACTCTCCTGGAATGACTTTCCATTCCATGAAGAGCAGAACACCACCAAAGCCTGTGAGGGCTCAGGCTGGGCTGGAGGCTCTGCAAGAACAAGACTTTCAGCATCTTGATTTGCTGAGCTCTACACTGCAGTCAGTGACTTTTCAGAGGAGTTCTGGCACAGGATAAATAAATCCAGCAGCCTCTACAGCCCCAGTGTTCAGTCAGCTCTGCCAAAGGTGAGCACAGGTAAGAAGCACCTTTGCAGATCATCATGGAATTCACAGAGGCTGCAGGTGGCTGCTGACAGTGCTGGGCTGCCAGTTAAGACCTGAAAATTGGGATGCCAAGAGCTTCTGTGCCTGCACTGTGACTTTGAAGTACAGCCCAGCCTCAATGACATTGCCTACAGCTGTTTCCTACCCACAGGCTTTACAAGGAACCAAATTACAGTCTTCAGTTCCTTGTTATATCTGACTATGCACTCCCTTTTTTACTGCGCCCTCACTCACAGGAACAAATATCACTAATTCTTATCTAAACCACAGAATTCCTTCAACTTTTTTGAAGTTGACAACTTTTTTGAAGTCAACTGAGGATTTTAAAATTTTGAGCTTGAGGCCTTTTCTGACATCTGATAGCAGGGCCAGAACTTTGCCAATCAATTAAGATCATGTTTCCAACACAGACCTCAGGTCTAACTTCCCCAGCTTGGTTTCATTTGAGTTCCCTAAACACTCTATAAACAAATGCATTTTTTTTCCCCCTTATATTTCATAAGGACCATTATAAATTTTGGAGGGAAAGGAAAAAAAAACCTCACCAAGGAAAATCCACCAAACACAAAGAAACCTAAGAATCTTTTACAGTTAGACAGTGAATATAAGGAAAAGGCCAAATAATTGAAAGTAATTTATACCTTCTTATTATCAAGGCCATTCACCTCAAGACCACTGCTGATCTTTTCTACCTTATCCCAAGAACATTTTAGCTAAAATTTGGAAATTTAAAATTTGTTCAGTAGACCATATTCAACTAGCTAAAACCCCCTAAATTAATAAAATAATAGAACAGCCTTTCTTGTGTCTTCATCTCAGAAACAAAATGGGAAAAGCTGACAAGTCTAATAAGTTGAATGCAGTTATTTGAGATGGTGAAATTCCAAAGATTTTAATTGATGAAAAGGATCCATCAAGTTTAGCTAAAGAAAATAAATCAGCTTGAAGCCAACTCAGACTTCTAGCTTGCCATACATCCCACTTTGCATCACAACTGCACAAGTAAAATTACAAAAAAAATTACAAATCAAGATTAAAAAGAATTCCTTCCAAAGCATTCTTAAAAGTAAAAAACAAAGCATGCTGAAAATTCAATACATTTTTACAGCCTTTGAAACAAGAAGTCTTACATGAAGGATGCTAAATTTAATCCCCTCATTATCTGCCTTGTAAGGAAATTCCTGCCACACCACAAATGAAAATGAAGATCAAAGCACACAATTTGACCAAGATCACAAACCATAGACTTGTTTGTCTCCAAAACAGCTCTTGCAACAAAACAGGAACTGAGTCTTAATATATTCCATGAGTAGAGCTGCATGAGCCTCTGAAGCTCAATATGCTTTCAATCAAGAGCTTTACCACAATTTTTCAAAGGACAGATTCTTCTGTCCAACCATCATGGATTTTTAAATTCATCATGAATTTAGATCTCCTAAGAGCTTAAGAGACTTTGGGACACAATCAGTAGTAGAAAACAATACAAAAATATCAGGTATGAAATTGGAACTCTAATTTTTATCTTTGGCCAAAAAAATTTTATGTATGTTTTACTTATAACTGCTACTAGTCAAAAAATGTGCCATGTTATTTGTCTTGTGCTTAAAAAATACCCAAACTTTGTAGCAGCCAGTAATATTTTACTAACTGGTCATAAACTTGGTGGGGCTTTTTTAATCTCTCACTGTGTATGTATTCTATTAATTATTTAAGAAAAAAATAATTACTGGTTTTGATTTAGCAGTACAATATAGCTATTCAACTATTTGTGGCACCATTGATCAAAGACTATGAGGTTTTAATTTCTCTCTTTCAACTTCTCCCTTGTATTCTGCATTTCCTACATAAATACATGACTGCTTTAGTTTATTTCTAGTATTGCCAACTCCTACAATATTGCTTCAGTCATGACTTCTGGTGCTTTTCTTTGTACCCCAAATGTTAGAATTACATATTATTTATCTCCTTAAAAATATAGTTGTCCTCAATATTACAGAAGAAACTTGTAAAAGCTGAGCAAATCATCAGCATCATGAAGCTCAAAGACAAAAACCGTAAACTACTGCATTTAAAAAACAATTATGATACTTCCAAGGCACTTTTTAAGAAGAATTTTTAAGAACCAGATTCTTCCTTGTCAACAGATTTTGAAAAAAAGTAATTCTTTTACCAAGCCAAAAGCATAATTAAATGCTTTGGATAAATCATACACTTAAATCACTTAGCAAATTTTTTTTTTTCCCATTTTCTCAATTGTGTGCATATATCACAGGTATTTAAGTATCATATAGCAGCAAAGACAGATAACTGTACCTTCTTTCTTTTATTCATCTTACAACCTAAGATAAATATTTTTCTTGAGTAAAATGGTTTATGTTTCATGTCATAATTATCCTTTGCACACGATTTATGCTCTATGCAACTTAGCAAAACAGATGCTGGAAAGTTACTGTGAATGCTCAACTTTAACACCACCACACCAACAGCACCATATAGAATAAATCCTCTCCAGGAAGTAGACAGGACATAGACATTGTAGGGGGAAAAATAAGGAAGAAGTATAAGAACTTATTTATAGCATATGCTTCCCCTTGATCTTGGTAAGGTTAATTTTTTTTCTGTTCTTAACTTCGTCCTCAGAGGATAAACCCTTCACAGAACTGAATCACTGCAGCTGAACACGCATGATGAACTAATAACCTCTGTAATAATTTCTGAAGCCTTATTATTTATTTTTTTTTTTCAATGGGAGTTGGTAACTGAAAGAATCCTGCCAATTGTATTGAAGGGATTTGAACAAAAGGAGAAATTGCTTCACAGCCTTATGACACAGCATCTACAGCAAGTGATGATGTGGCACAAAGCAGTTTTTTAAATTTTACTAGCAAATCAGAAAAGGGGCCACAAGGCTGTTATTTTGTGTTGCCTTCCCACAAGGCTCCTTACCACAAAATATGGCTTAGACAGACCTTTTGTTCCTCCAGCTGGGGTAGGCTATGTCTTAGATGATTTCACCAACACAAGAACTTGCTGCCCTCTACAACTTGAACTTCTCAGACTTCCAAAGAGTAAGTTTTCTTGGTAAGAAGGAATAAAATGAACTGATTGTGTTATTTTTCAGTGAAGAGTGATTCATGCATGTTATATAATATTTAGCCTTCAGCAAGTAAACTGCTTGCAAATACAATTACTGAACTCTGACTTGATTACAGATGGTAAAGAATCAAGCTTCTAAGATTTTTTATTGTTTTTCAACTTTGTAATTATGTGTTTTATCATATTGTGTGCATTTGACCTGCATTTCCTGTTATCAAGTTTCACCTGACATAAGTGTTTTAAAGCTAGTTAAATTCTTAGAAATATTTCATGAAGAGGTGTCAGTGTCTCCGTGTTTTGAGACACAACCTGCAAGCCTGGCAGGACAGTTACTATTCTACCAGTAAGATACTCAGCTACAGCCAAAGTATCAAAATGTCTCCCTAAAACCAGCTCCTCCTCTCCATTAAACCTGTGGGAGACTTTGGCACATATTACTTCTTATTTATCATTTAATCTGACATGATGGGAGCTCTCTTCACATAGTCCACATGGCAAATAGATCAATCCCACAACGACCTTATTCCTCAAAGTGAGAAGACTTACTGAGTTGTCCCTCCTGGTTTCTAAGGACAACTGTGGCACCAAGAACAAAAATTATTAACTGGAAGTTTTGTGACATGGAGTAGAAGTGCTGAGAGAAGAGAACCAGAAGGTGAAGCTCAAGTTCTGGACTGCAACTGAAGAGGGAGGAATCAAAAGGAAACAAAGAGCATGAAATAAGCAAGGGGGACAGACTGGGATCTGTTCCACAAAACCAGAAGGCAGTCATGGGAGTTAGAAACAGATCTGAGATAGACACCAACTGGACTGATTAAAAGATATTCTGATATACACTGCCTGAAATGTGAAATCCAGTGAATTCCTCCTGAAGTGCAGAATTCCTTCTCAACCCAGCACAGTGCATTTATGCAGCACTGTGGTGCAAGGCTGCTCTGTCTCTGCTAATTACTTAATTAGCTCGGATATCCCACAATGCTGCAGGGATATGGAGTCCCTGGCTTTGCTGGGGAAAGGACCTACCTGGAGAGGAGTTTGACTCCAGTCAAACCAAGTTTTAAGGTTTTCATCAGTTAAGAAACTTGACTGCATACAAATGCAAAGTTAGATATGCAGGTTAGGCAATACCACATGGTGACACCCAGCCACTGGCACACACAGGCTGTGTCACACAGCACAATTGCAAGGATGCCTCAAATTCCAATAGTTTGTTACTACTTTTCTTCTTAGAATTCTCTCTTTCCTGTTCAGTTCATAGAATAAATCACACATTAGGCAATCACTGCTAGGAATCACCAGAAATGACTACTTGTCTCTCCTCCTTTGTTACTGAGAGAGTTCAGTAAACAAATTTTGACAAAGTGTCCCTTGGGTACAAAACATATATGAAAAAAAGAGAATAACTGCTTTTCTCTCTCTGCTTCAGGGTATACTGAGCAAAGTCTCTTAAATTTTTCCATGACTTCGGCGGTTTAATCTGCAATGTAACATTTTGACTCATTGCTGCTTAAATTGAACAGCTTGACATGATTCACAATTCTTATTCCAACAAGTAACAAGGTTCCTTTAACTGCATAAAGTAATCTAAAAGGTTAGACTGGCTCTGAGCATTAGAAATTTGACCTTCAAAATGATTTGCCTTTCACAGGAACAGGATTTCACATCAGAAGGGTATTTGGAAGGTAAATTAATTCACATCTATAAAGAACATATGATTACAGAAGCAGATTACAAAGTAAACTTACGACTAAAGATTTTATACCATGTGCAATGCATGATGGTTGAATTGTACTGGCTTTAAATAAATGATAGGAACAGAAAAATCACATGATGAAAATCACACTAAGTCAGTCATGTTTTGTGGAAAATAAAAAAACAACACAAAATGCCACAGAACATACAATTTGCAAAGCCACATAAATTTCTATTCTACTTAACGTACAATATTTCCAAGTAATCTATTTCAATGTCCTTTTTATAGAAACAATCCTGTTATGGTACCCTTCAGTACCAAGCACAGCACAGATGGAAAGCTGTTCCTTGCCTGAAGTCAGACCAGAAAACCTCTGTTTACTTCAAGGGCAGTAAATTTGTTTGTTTTTTCATTGGAAGGTACAGATCAAAACTTGGGCTTCCTAGTAATGTCACAGACAGTGTTGCTAAAAAAAGGCATTATTCTGCTTCATTATATGTTGCTGCTACTTAAAACTTCTATATTATTTACAACTATCTAAAACAATTTTTCTTCTCATCAACAGGTCACAACATACCAATTTAAATATGGGGATTCTGAGCCACGTATTGATCCTCCACCTCCTCAGGGCTGCTTTGGTCTTTTGTCAGTATGAAGACTATGATTTTGAGGATGAATATGGTGGGGAGCCAGATCATCAACTTCCATATTATTTTAACCCAAATGCCCGAGCTGAAGTTCCTCATTTTCCTTTTCCAGTAGAGTGTGCCAAAGAATGCTTCTGTCCACCAGCGTTTCCCTTATCTATGTACTGCGATCACCGGAAACTCAAGACAATACCAAACATTCCCAGTCATGTCCAACAACTTTATCTGCAAAACAACAACATTGAAGCTGTGCCTACAGGACCATTCACTAATGTTACCTTCATAAGGGAAATTAACCTCAGCTACAACAATATAAAATTCCATATGATTGACCATGGTGTTTTTGCCAAACTTTCACACATAGTGCAACTTCATTTACAACATAATGAATTAGAAGAATTTCCATTCCCTCTGCCCAGCTCTCTAGAGAGACTCCTCCTTGGTTTCAATAAAATTTCCCGGTTACCTGGAAATGCATTGGAAGGCTTGCCCAACATGACCACGCTTGACCTTTGCAGTAACTTACTTGATGACTCAGCATTCAAAGACAAACCCTTCTCAAATATGAAAAATTTAATGCAGCTCAACTTATGCAACAACAAATTACAGACAATGCCTCCTGACCTGCCACCATCAATTCGGCATCTTTCTCTTGAAAATAACTCAATTTCTCATATTCCAGAAAACTATTTCCACAGACTTCCCCACATCATTGCTCTAAGAATGTCTCACAATAACCTGCAGAACATTCCACACAACACCTTTAATCTACCCAACCTTCTAGAACTTAATCTTGGACATAACAAATTGAAACAAGTGTTCTATATTCCAAGAAGTTTGCAGCATTTGTACATTGAAGACAATGAAATTGAAAGTAGGTTGATGGCTAAACTTTGTAAAAAGCAATAAACTTAGTGGATTTTGGCACTGGTTGTGGGAGGAGTAAGGGGAGAATATCATCCTATATTCTTTGGAATGCAATATAAACACATCCTCAGTCACTTGAGACCAATTAGAAATTAGAGAAGATTTTATTTTTGAAGGTTTCCTCTAATTCACAGTTCTTTGTAAAAGTTAATACAAGTTTTTCATGTAACAGCTAAAATTTTTTGAAAATCGCTTCTAACTTAGCAACTGATAAAAACACGCAGAGAAAAGGAATTATGAAAATATTTCATTATCATAAAACAGTAATTACAAATCCCTTACCTCACAACCTTATATTTTGTAAGCCCCCAAACTGGTACCATTGTCAGTTACAAAACTGATTTAAAACATAGCAAAGGGTTGTATTACTACGTGCCATGAAAACATTTTCCATTTTAAATTTCAGAACCTAAGTTTTACTTTTGCAATAGGTCTAAAGCATAACCACTTTCTGCATTTTAATTAATGTTTTTTACTCTCTTACAGACATCAATGTTACTGTGATGTGTCCAACTCTGGACCCACTGAACATCAAGCAGTTAACCTACATACGAGTGGACCAGAACAAGCTCACAAGCCCCATCAGCACCTATGCTTTCTTCTGCTTCCCTCTCATCAGAACCATTTATTATGGAGAGCAAAATGTCACTGTCAGCAGGCCAAGTCAGCTCAGAACACCGGTGTTCCGGCGGTTTCTAACACCAGAGGAATTCCAGGAAGCAGAAGACAATCATGAAACACTCAATCAAGAAACTGAAGAAGATCATGAAGCAGAAGACAGCTATTTTCGTCCTTACTATCACTGAAGTAATTATTGTTAATAAGTATATATGGAAACTTCTCATTAGTCTGGGTTATTCATATCTATTCTAGAACAGCTGGGCAGTTTGGGATATTGAAGATACATCTATAAAATGTAGATATGAGATTTAAGTAGGTAAATGTCCTATTATTGATGTAGTAAAAAACAGCACAAGGAACAAAGAGAACTCTCCTGAGCATTAGATAAAGGTCTGACACATTACCTGGGTTGATGATGGGCTCACCTTTTGGTGAGCAACCGAAGTGAAAGAAAATTGACTTTGAAAGCTTCTCTGTTCTAAAGTGATCCAATTGCAAAATGACTAAAACACAAATCAGTGTCATAATTCAATAGGAACAAGTGATTAAGGCCAAAAATCCATCCAGCTCTGTATGCTACTGCTGACAGCAATAGCAAAGAGATGCTCTAGAGAAAAGGACAACAGATTGAAATTACAATATAATTCTACAAGGTTCCTCCACATTTCCCAAAATTACAGATATTTCTTCTTCCAGTTTCTAACTGGATGAGGACATCACAAATATGGAACTTCAAAACTTCCCCATATTATGTTCCACGTGTCCTGCCAAGCTGTATTATAATACTCACTTCTTTGGCTGTCCTTTAATTATCACAATCTTTTAAAGGAGATTTCAGCTTATTACTAACACAGGCAATAAACAATCTTTCACCAAGCTGCTGGGATCTAGGGAAAAGCATGTGCACTAACACAACTGAACCATTAGCATTTATATTTCCCCTGTGCTTCAGCCCATGTTATTTTAGAAGACACATAGAAATGTAATGTAATCTTTGCATTTAGAATTATTCATCAAGTAGGACAGATACAATGAAAAACATTTGCAGTTTTTTAAACTATTAATTTATCCCTCTGCACAGCTAATACCAATTAGTTGTATTCTGCTTCAAAGTACAATCAACACTGCTTTAAGCAACCTGAAGAAAACTTCGAGCTATGCGATTTTTTAAAATATCTTATGCCTAGAAACATATCCAGATAACTACAGGGGAAGATAACACTATAGAGCACCATATTGCCCTTTTTAATCACTTCTTTGTTTTTCAGCACTTTTTCCTTGATAGAGCTTTACTAGCTGTGAGGAAAAAAACCCCTGTTTTCAACAGCAAAATCAAATTTTTGCAAGTGATAGAGCCATACAACATACTCCCAACTTTGCATAATTTTATGTAGTCTTTTTAGTTGTCCTACACTTAAAGTACAATGTAATCAGATTTCTATTAGAATTTGAAAAGCTAGGCAGGTTTCATTTTTTCTCTTAGAATTTCAGGGGGTTTTTTTAGGCCCATAATAATATTTATGGTTTCTGATGTATCAACTGAAATATTAAGAAAATGAAAATACGTAACTGCTTCTTTTTAAGAGAAAGATTTATAAGGCTATGAATATAAACTTTAAGAATATATACAGACTTTAAGGACAACTGGTTGTAAGAATTTGTGGGTAGAAAATTTATTCTATTGTTATTAATTTGTGGATCTTCAGCCAACTAACTCAAGAAATCTGCTCCTCTCTCCTTCCCCTTTTTCTTATTTGCATTTTGAGCAGATCCAGTATTCATAGCAAACTATTTCGTGGTCATCTCACAAATTCACAGTGCTACAGAATGTCTGCTTTTAAAAAAAAAAGTTATTAATGTTTATCACCCTCAAACACCTCTGGGTTTCTGAAAAAGGAAGACATACATGTATTCATTCCTTAAGTACTCAGTATCACTTATGTACAGTACATATAAGAATTTAGATATATCTATAACTTTATTGCTTTATTAATATATACACGTAGTATATTAACCTTTCAACTATTTCAGATTTTAAGTGAACGGTGCACAAAATGCAAATCTAAAATAAGGCTTTTTTGAAAGGCTTGCTCAGCTTCGAAAATAAAAGAACACTATCCTTCTGTAGTATGAATATTACATCTTTTATCACAAACTTTCTGCTTTTTAAAGCCATTTATGAAACAAAGCTTAGCTTTATTTTTAAAGTAGAAGTCAAAAAATTGACATTATATACATTTCTCAAAGTCAAACTGGAAATTATTGAAAACTTCAGAGCTGTCTTGTTATACATGACTCATTCAGGTGGAACATGAAATTTGTATTACAAGCAGAACTATTATAAGTCACTTTTCTTTCAATTATTATCATATAATCTGTAGCACATAAGACACTAATTCCAGAAAGGCTTTTACAGTGGACAGAGAACTAAAGACTTGGTAGCCTTAGAGAAATGAGAATTACAATAAAGTACTGGATTAATGGAATCTAGCTGAGTGAAATTTGCTCTGGTAACACAGGGGATGCTGTCTGTATAAGTCATGATGTTTTGCCTTCCAAGTATCTTGGAATTCTCTGAGGGAATCATGAAGGACATAGAAAAGGGAGATCCTGGTCCAAAAAGCCTACAAAAATTCCTAAAGGTTTTAAGGAAATTAAGTTGCCACAGATTAAAAGGCAACATCACAAACAAAAATCAAATAAAGTATGAGAAACAGCCTAAGAATAATTGGTCAGTTCTTGCTGTGGAGGGGATCCCACTGGTGGGAACTTTGCAGAGAGCCTGTGCTGGAATTTATTCAATTTAAAATGCTAGTAAGCGACAGACAAACCAGGCTGAGAAGTGAGATGCCAAAAATGAGTGCTAAGTATTGTTAGAGAAATGGCTGCAAAAGTCCTCAGGATGCTAAAACAGCCAGTGGAGCTCATCACAGTTAAAGGAGAAGTGATGTCCATGGAAATGATGAGCTTAGTTCCACATTAAAATTAATGAAGGATGACCTCACCAACATCACTCAGGGAGTGAGACTCAGAAGTGCTTCAGTAGCAATAGGAGTTCAGTGAAAACACTGGCTCAGCGCCCAGGAGTCACAAAAAGGAAACTCAAATGTAGAAAGTAACTAGAGACAAATAGAAAACAAGAGACATCAAGACACTACCATAAATCTGTGGCTCACCTAGACATTAAATGCAGTATTGATTTCCAAAGCCTCAGGTAGCTGGTATTGGAAAAGGATTAGAGCAAGGTCACTCAAGGTAAGGATTGGCTTCTATATCAACAACATGGAATGCACTAGGGCTCAGCAAAGAGAGAGGGGGATACAGAAGAAACCACAAAATTATGAGTTGCATTGACAGCAAGGGTCTGGGGATCTGCTCCAGTACAAAGGAAGGAGCCATCAAATGAAGCTCATATGTCCCGTGTACCCAAGGACACAGTGGATGCAGGAGCAATTTTAGACATGGTGTTGAGAAAAGACACAACCAGTAATTGTGTTTCTTGGACGAGATTCACTGAAGTTTGTTAAACAAAACACAGTAAGTACAAAAGTGCTGAGCTGAAAATAGTTGGAGAGTGGAAGAACATTTGAAGACAGGATAGAGACAAGGATTATACATCATTGTTCTATTCTCTGTCTTCCCAAAGCATCTGTTCATGAGCATTGCTGGACACAGGATATTGTACACTAACCTTTATTATTAATTGCACACCAGTTTTATGTTGCAACTATCCTGAGCCATGGTAATGTGCTGGTACTGCTCCTCACTACCACTGCCTTGAGACAGTGTAAAAAATACTTGCCTCATTTTGCTCTGCTACTTACTTACAAAATATACAGTGTTTTTAAAGGATGAAATAGGATCATAAACTAAGAAGTAATCATGCTATTTATTTTAACAGTAACAGCAAAACCTAACAATGAAATAGCTTAATGAGTTTATTTACAGCACAGTCAGAAAATACAGAAACAAAGTTTGATCTGAGTTTTAACTCTGCATTTCCATGAGCAATTCAGGTAAAGTGCCAACCACCAGAAGTTATTATAAAAATCAAAAGAAAGAGAAATAAAAATAGTTTAATCCAACTCTTTATATTTCTTTCTTTAGCCCAAAAAAAGTGGGAATATATTTTGCTTTTTCCTGATAAATATTTTTTACACTTTGCTTCAATACTCTGATAATAAAATTTATGTGGATGAGGACAGAAGCTCCTTTATAGAAAACAGATGTTTTGCAGTTCACATTTTCTGACTTAAAACATTCACATTCCACTTTTACAATACAAATCCATTTCCTTCTTTGTTGCCCAACTTGATTGTTGTGAGCTATTAAGCATAGGCATTTCCTACCTGAAAAGCAGGAAAGGGGAATATACTATATTTTTAACCAAAAAAGTACACACTGAAGAGATTTCCCTATCATTTTCCAGTGCTGCTGCAAGAGTGTGAACTATTCAGCTATAAGCCAATTTGTGTATACACTATTGCAACATATGGAATTCCACAAATACAAACATTTTTAATGTTTTAACTGTTTTGCCGAAAATTTATATTTCTAACAACCTAATTAAGAAGGAAAATAAACAGAACACAACCTTGTAATTAGTTGTATTAATTCATCGTCTACAGAAAAAAAAAATAAATTCCCTTATTCTAAAAGTAGAACACAAGGAAAACAGATAAATATGAAGATAAGCCATGAACACAGAGAGTAAAGCAGATGCTATGAACAACACAAGGAACAGATGCCTGGAACACTGAAGTAAAATATGGATAAGGCCAACGATTCTTGGAGCCCTGGCTCAAACGTCCCTGTGGACATAGTAACAGCTCTCAACAAATGATGGTATTGTCATAAGGAAGTAATGCCAATTCTGGAAGAAATTCTAAGAAATTGTAATAAATTGCAGTAAGTTGGCTTTTGTTTCAGGATATAGCTGATGTCACATAGCAAAGCTCAGGAGAGCATGTGTTCAACAGAGGGGTCTGGGTAAATAGACAGCACTGCTACTCTGGTTATCATTTGTATTTATTAACCATAGTTTGATTTCTGTTTAATATTATGCATGATTTTTGCAATGTGCTTTATTAATTTAAAAGACAGTAACTGATAAAATGTTGTCTTTTCCAGAAATGCAATAAATAAAGGTAATGTCTTCAGCCTTAAAAAATTCTGATTATAAACCAGAAACATATGGAAGGATGTTCATACAATCACTAGGTCATTTTTCAGTTGTCTTCATCTTGCAGCTGGTGGCCCTAACAGTGACCTAAACCAATTTAATTCACTGAGCCTTGGAAATAGTTGCAACTTTTCATAAAAATCTGGCGGTATTTATGCATAACTATTTCATTTCAGACACTTCTTTGATTCAGTGATTCTGAATATTGAAGAATGTTCCATGCTTTCTCTAGGACATGATGACATTTGTTTTACATTTAATACTAAATGAACCCCCCTCCATCCCTGAAGGATGCTGGGTTTGAACCGACTTTGCTTTACACGACTCTTCTATAGCACCACCTTCAGTTCTCAAGCCAGTGAAGAAACCAGGAGATTGCTCCTGCTTACGTGATACTTTTAGTTCCCAGAATAAATGCAACTCCATCATAATTACTGGCATTAAACTGCCTTAAAACAAAGCAGAAAGGAATGAAGGGGTCTGAGAAGTTTCATATCATACATTTATGCAGCAGCAAAAAGTTAAAAGTAGTTTTAGAGAGTGGAATTAATCCCATATAAATATCAAAAGAAAAGGCCTGTGTTTTAGAAAATAAAACTTATGTAGAGAACCATTCCAAAATGTTATTTCTTTTAGGTTAAAAAAGGAGAAAATACAAACAGAACCATCGAGTTCAGTTCTAACATCACTTAATGTTTTTGCCCTTTAACAGTCAATCTCTCACCGCTTGCAGATTATTATGTACACGTTACCAGGCTGGTGCAGTAACTGTCTTTTCCTTCATAAAACCTTTTCTATTATAATTACTCCCATCCAGAACATCTGGTCAATATTGTGAGGTGTTTAAATCACACTCCACGCAAGTTATGCCAAGGAACCTCCAACATGTTACCTTCCACATGAAGCAGAAATATCACACACAAAAGAAAATCCAGCATTGTGCCCAGGTCTATAGATAGCAAAGAATCTTTAAAAGCTTTCCTAATTTGTCCTCATCTCATTTTTTTTTCTACACAGATGTCTGGCCAAGAGAAGACACTGACTGTGAGCATTCTGTGTAAGGGATTCCCAGCACCCACCATAAGCACAGGTCAGCTGAGCCATAATCCATAGTACTTTTTTTCAAGCACATTTATAAATACTAAAACTCAGAAATGGCAGAAGTTGCCAGTATCATCCCTTAGAGATTGTAATACAAGATGAAAGCCAAGGTGTTTAAGCAGCTGCAAAATACACTTCCTCTGTCTAAACATAGAACAAACCTGAGTGATTGAAAAGAATCTCAGCTTTGGTTTATTTCATAAGGAATATCTTGGAGCAACTTTATGGCACTCTCCCTAGTGCTGTCTCATAGCCTTATTAACCCCTGCACCGCTATGTTTTTTCCTCCCCATTTTTCTTTTTCCAGTGGTCTGCCTCCCATTGCACAACCTCAAGTCTTTATGTAGGCAGTGCCAGCTCCTGCCCCCTTTAATTCTTACAGGCACCTAGAGAAGTCATTTCCAACCTGTCTTGCACAGATGAAAGTCTACCCCACTCCGTATTGACATATAAACTAAATATTAGATTCTTTCCCAGATGCTGAAGATTTAGTCAGCAACATGTATTGTTTGGGTAATTACCCTCATTTCTGTCTTGATCTCCTATGTTTTTTCCTACCTCTGTCATCCACATCCATCCAACTTCTCACTTTTTCACTCCTATTATTTGTTGTCTAACATGACAGAAGAAAACCTTGGGGAACCAATTTTACAGCTATTCCGTATGCAACCCTTTTCACCTAAAGCTAAGTTTTCCTGATATCAGAATGCAGAGACCAGAATTCAATCCCATTAATCTGGCTTGGGTTCTATCCACTACAAGAAAAGAAGTCTTGTGGTTCATTTACACCTTCAGCTACACTTCATATCCTCACAAAACGACAGGGAAATGACTACTGTTAAAATTTAAGCCACAATTCCCTGCCAACAAAATTAGGAAAAATAACCTTTTAAAGTGCCTAACAATCCAGCTGAAAGTATTTTGTGGGGAAATCAGTCAGAGCAAATGAGATATCATGGGGAAAATAAAAAAAACCACACTGTGGACACATTATTAAGGTCCTCTTCAAAAACTGGAGCTCAATGAGTTAACAACACAGCAGGCTTAGGTTTCCAGGAAAGAAACCACCTTCCAATTATATCAATCCTTGTAACAAGAGTCCAAGCAAAAGACACTTATACATCCAATTTCCAAGCATTAACAGTGCCCAGAAAGCATTCTCCGCTCGTCAGGGTGTTTCCTGTCAGCTCCCCTACAGCCAATGCATATGAACCACATATTTCATCTCACATGATTTGGATATTGTGGTTATTTCTAGTCACTCTGAGTTGAAGGAAGCAATATTTCCCTTCCTTGTTTGCAGTCACCCGTACCACCTTCATCCTTGTGCTGATCTGAGCATCTGGTACATGTTCAGATAAAAATTGGTTTTATCTGACATTATTTGCTGATATATTTTCTTCTTTCATGACAATGCCAACAAACTATGGAATAAGGTTACTACTTTATTTGGCACTCTGAGCTACTCCTTGACGGCATCATGCCAAAAAATCTACTTAACATCTCCCTCTTTGAATGTATTTGTAAGGAAGTATTCATGAGCTTCTGAGAAGTGCCTCTATTGCAGTGAGTACACACATGACAACCTTTTTGTGATAAGCTAGAACCGAAATCTTGTGACCCTGATGAATAGAGACTTTTCACATTTTGTGCAGAAGCTGTTCCTGAAGTTGTCTAAAAATTCAGAGCCTCTTCTCCTCTTGCAGATCTAAACAAATGTTTCCTTGAATGAAGACTTCCTACATTTTCAAGGCCTCATCTATCCAGTAGTTTTCCCCCATTTTAAAAAGCTGCCATATGTAAGGAAAAAATAAAGCTATTCCTAAGACAGTCTATGTAGCTGTGAAATCTAGGATTTCAGTACTTACAAAATAAATTATCATAACACTATAATAAATAGATTTAATATTTTATATCTTGCTTTCAGCTTTAAAATATTTACTTTTTTTTTTTTTCTTTCCCTTAGAATAGTTATCCTTTGATTACATTCAAGCACTGAAAACATTTGGATGCCCCAGAGACAGAGGAAATCCTAACATGGATGTTTGGCAGATGGGTGGCAGCTGGAAAGGGTAAGTACAAAGCAGAGCTGTGTCATTACTTCCCAGACATGCACGAAGGCAGGAGGGATGCTAAGATGGTACTGACAGTGCAGTTTAACCATTTCCAAACTCCTGGTGTCATTGTTATAGCAGAGTAGCATCCAATGGGATTCAGGGCTGAATTTCCATTATTATTGAGCCTCTTCCCTCACATGTCCATTTTATCATCACAGCATTATCCTAGAGCAAGCTTCAAGTCCAAACTAACAGATTGTTAAATTTGCATATGAACTAAGCTACAAACATTTTTATAAAATCCAAATGAGTCCAGAAACTGGTGGTATTATAAACCCAAAAAGATTTTAGACAGCAACTGGCTGTAGTCATTCTGCGGATTTCCTACAGACATTTGGCTCCTAAACAAGGCAGCATTTAAAAGAAAAATTAACCAAAAGGTCCAGTTTATCATTACTATTACTCTAGGAAAAAAAAAAGAAAAAAAAGGTATAACAATAAAAGAGAAATGTAAATCTGGATACATTCC